GTGCCAAATGGAAAGGGGAAATCATCACCAGAAAGCCGTTTTTTTTTGTTTGTTTTTTTTTTGGTGAGGAAGATTGACTCTGACCTAACATCTATTGCCAATCTTCCTCTTTTTGCTTGAGGAAGATTAGCCCTGAGCTAACATCTGTGCCAATCTTCCTCTATTTTGTATGTGGGACGCCGCCACAACATGGCTTGAAGAGTGGTCTGTAGGTTTCCACCTGGGATCCGAACCCATGAACTCCAGGCTGCCAAAGCGGAGCGCGTGAACTTAACCACTACGCCGCTGGGCCAGTCCCACCAGATAGTCTTTAAATTTTATTTATTTATTTATTTATTTTCCCCCAAAGCCCCAGTAGATAGTTATGCGTCACAGCTGCACATCCTTCTAGTTGCTGTATGTGGGACGCGGCCTCAGCATGGCCGGAGAAGCGGTGTGTCAGTGCATGCCCGGGATCCTAACCCGGGCCGCCAGCAGTGGAGCGCACGCACTTAACCGCTAAGCCATGGCACCGGCCCGCACCAGATAGTCTTTATTTATTTATTTATTTTTTTAAAGATTTATTTATTTATTTTCCCTCCAGAGCCCCAGTAGATAGTTGTATGTCATAGCTGCACATTCTTCTAGTTGCTGTATGTGGGACGAGGCCTCAGCATGGCCGGAGAAGCGATGTGTCGGTGCACGCCCGGGATCCGAACCCGGGCCGCCAGCAGCGGAGCACGCGCACTTAACCGCTAAGCCACGGGGCCGGCCCCCAGATAGTCTTTAAATGTCAGCTGCTTTCATAAAATAAATGACTTCCTCTAAAAAGAACTGGTCAGGTTGATGTCATTGTTTTCTGTGTCAGCAGAATTGGATGGATCCATTCTGAAAAGTCTTTCCTCTTTGGAATTTATCTTCATGAATAGAAACTGTATTCATAGATTTTTAAATTCTTTCTCCTTAGGCTACATTTATCATACAGTACTATAATTTTGAATGAATGGACCACTAAACACCTGATACTGATGTTATCCATATCAAAGAAAAGAACAAGTTAAGGTAATAGACATTTTCCCACTGTCCCCCATATTGCAAAGGCAAAGAAGTGTTTATTTGAAGCATGACTAACACTCAGAAAAGTATACAAGTCATAACATAAAGCCCAATGAATTATCACAAAATGAACACAACTTGTAACCATCATCTAGATCAAGAAATAAAACCTTAAGAGCACCTTAGAAGACTACCCCAATGCCCTTCTTGTCACTACCTGCACTCCCCTCCATAAAAGAAACCATTTGATTTCTCAAACCATAGATTAGTTTTGCCTGTTCTAGAACTTCATATAAATAGAATCATACTGTATGTATCCTTTTGGGTCTGGCTTTATTTGTTCAATATTGTGTTTGTGAGATTCGTCCATATTTGTTTCATGTAGCCATAGTTTATTCATTTGCATTGCTACATGATATTCCATTTTATAATACACTACACTTTATTTTTCCATTGTACTATTAGTAAAGATTTGAGTTGTCACAGGTTTTTGCTATTACAAATATATTTTTATACATGCTTTTGGTGTACATTTGTACACATTTCTGTTTAATCCACCTGGGAGTGGATTTATATGTCACAAGGTATTAAGAATACTTTTTTTTTAGTTTGAGATATAATTCATATACCATAACACTCATCATTTTGAAGTGTACAATTTAGTAGTTTTTAGTATATTCACAAAGTTGTGCAACCATGATCTCTATTTCCAGAAGATTTTTATCACCTCAGAAAGAAATGCTGAGGCGGCCCTGTGGCCTAGTGGTTAAGTTCAGTGCTGTCTGCTTTGCGAGTCTGGATCCCGGACATGAACCTACACAGCTAGTCAGCCATGCTGACCCACGTATGAAATAGAGGAAGACTGGCACAGATGTTAGCTTGGGGCTAATCTTCCTCAAGGAAAAACACAAAAAAGAGGAAGATTGGCAACAGGTGTTAGCCCAGGGCTAAGCATGCTAAGCAAAAAAAAAACAAACGCCAAACCCACAACCAGTAACTCCCCATTTCTGCCCATCTGGCCAACCTGTAATCTACTTTCTATCTCTTTGGATTTGCCTATTCTGGGCATTTCATACAAATAGAATCATACAATATGTGACCTTTTCTGTCTAGCTTCTTTCACTTAGCATAATGTTTTCCAGACTCATCCATGTTATAGCATGTATTAGTACTTTATTCCTTTTTATGGCTGAATATATTCCATTGTTTGAATATTTATTATTTGTTCATATCAGTTGATGAATCCATTCATCAATTGATAGACATTTGGGTTGTTTACACTTTTGGGCTATTATGAATAATGCTGCTAGAAACATTTGTGTACAAGTTTTTGTATGGACGTATGTTTCCAGTGCTCTCGGGTATATATCTAGGAGTAGAATTGCTAGGACATTTGGTAACTCTATAACTTGTTAAAGAACTCAAACTGTTTTCCAGAGCAGCTACACCATTTTACATTCCTATCAGCAATGTATGAGGGTTCCAGTTTCTCCACATTCTTGTCAACACTTGTTATTGTCCGCCTTTTGATTACATCTAGCCTAGTGGGTATGAAGTGTTATCTCATTGTAATTTTGATTTATATTTTGAAAAGACGTTGGGCATCTTTTCATGTGCTCATTGACCATTTGTCTATATATCTTCTTTGGAGAAATGTGTTTTCATATTCTTTGCTCATTTTTTTTATTGGGTTATTTGTCTTTTTATTATTGAGTTCTAAGAATTCTTTATAATAGTCCTTTGTAAGACATATGGTTTGCAAATATTTTCTCATTCTCTAGGTTGTTTTTTTACTTTCTTGATAATGTCTTCTGAAGCACAAAAGTTTTTAATTCTGAAATAAGTCCAGGTTATCTGTTTTTTCTTTTGTTGCGTATGCTTTTTGTGTCATATCTTAAAAAACCATTGTGGTGTGAGGTAGAGGTCCAGTTTCATTCTTTTGTATGTGGAAATCTAGTTGTCCCAATACCATTTGTTGAGAAGACTATTCTTTCTCCCAATGAATGGTCTTGGCATTCTTGTCAAAAAGCAATTGACCGTTTATGTAAGGGTTAATTTCAGAACTCTTAATTCTATTCCATTGATCTATATGTCTGTCCTTGTGCCAGTACCACACAGTACCTTTGTAGTTTTTAAATCAGGAAGTGTGAGTCCTCCAAATTTGTTCTTGTTTGAGATTGTTTTGGCTCCTCTTGGTCTCTTTCATTTCCCTGTGAATTTTAGGATCAGTCTGTCAGTTTCCACAAAAAAGGCAGCTGGCATTTTAATAGGGGTTGCATTGAATCTATAGATCAATTTGGAGAGTATTGCCATCCTAACAATATTAAGTGTTCCAAACCATGAACATGAAACATCTTACCATTTTTTAGATCTTTTTAATTCCTTTCAATGATGTTCTATAAAATTCAGTGTACAAGTCTTTCACTTCTTTTGTTAAATTTAATCCTAAGTATTTTAATCTTTTTGATGCTCTCACAAATGGAATTATTTTGTCAATTTCATTTTCAGACTATGCATTGCTAATGTATAGAAATGCAATTGATTTTTTATATTAATCTTGTATCCTGCAACCTTGCTGCTCATTTATTTGCTCTAATCATTTTTGTGTGTGTGTTAGTTTTACTTCTTCCTTTCCAATTTGGAAGCCTGTTGTTCCATTTTCTTGCCTAATTGCCCTAGCTAGAACCGCCAGTACCATGCTGAATAGAAGTGGTGAGAGTGGACATCGTTGTTTGTTCTTGATATTAAGGGGAAAGCTTTTGGTCTTGAACCATTAAATATGATGTTAGCTATGGGATTTTCATACATGCTCTTTTTTTTTTTTTTTAAAGATTTTATTTATTTATTTATTTATTTTTCCCCAAAGCCCCAGTACATAGTTGTATGTCATAGCTGCACATCCTTCCAGTTGCTGTATGTGGAACACGGCCTCAGCGTGGCTGAAGAAGCAGTGTGTCGGTGCGCGCCCGGGATCCGATCCCGGGCCGCCAGTAGCGGAGCGCGCGCACTTAACCGCTAAGCCACGGGGCCGGCCCATGCTCTTTATCAGATTAAAGAAGTTTCTTTCTTTTTTTTTTTTTTTTTGTGAGGAAGGTCAGCCTTGAGCTAACATCTGATGCCAATCCTCCTCTTTTTTGCTGAGGAAGATTGGCCCTGGGCTAACATCCGTGCCCATCTTCCTCTACTTTACATGGGACGCCACCACAGTATGGCTTGACAAGTTGTTCATTGGTGTGCACCCGGGATCCAAACCAGTGAACCATGGGCCGTCGAAGCGGAGCTCCCGCACTTAACTGCTGAGGCACTGGCCAGCCCCAAGAAGTTTCTTTCTATTCCTGGTTTGTTAAGTGTTTTTATCATAAAAGGGTGCTGGATTTTTTTTTTTTTTTTTTTGGTGAGGAAGATTAGCTCTGAGCTAACATCCGTTGCCAATCCACCTCTTTTTGCTGAGGAAGATTGGCCCAGGGCTAACATCCGTGACCATCTTCCTCCACTCCATATGGGATGCTGCCACAGCATGGCCCGATAAGCGGTGCATCGGTATGTGTCTGGGATCCTGACCTGCGAACCCCGGGGCCGCTGAAGTGGAATGCATGCACTTAACCGCTATACCATCAGCCAGCCCCAAAGGATGTTGGATTTTTGTCAAATGATTTTTCTGCACCTTTTGAAATGATTGTGTTTTTTTGTCTTTTATTTTATGAAAATTGTGTATTATGTTGATTGATTTTCCCATGTTGAACCAACCTTGCTTTCTTGGAATGAATTTCACTTGGTCAGGGTTTATTATCTTTTTTAGAAGTTGCTGGATTCGGTTTGCTAGTATTTTGTTGAGGATTTTTGCCTCTATATTCTTAAGTGATATTGGTCTGTGGTTTCTTCTATTGCCTTTTTCTAGTTTTGGTGTCAGGATAATACAAGGATACTTTTTGATGTATGCTAAATTTCAACTTTTTTTCCCCCAGAAAATGATCCACAGTCTATTTCTCATAAACTGTTCTGGTGACATATTTCTGGAGAAGCACTGGAAGAGTGTTGTGAGCCAATCTGTCTGTGATTATTTCTTTGAAGCTCAAGAGAAAGCTGCTGATGTTGAAAATGTACCACCTGTCATTTCAACACCTCATCACTACCTCATCAGTATCTACCGAGATAAGCTCTTCTTTGTGTCTGTCATACAGACTGAAGTGCCACCTCTCTTTGTAATTGAGTTCCTACATCGAGTTGCTGACACTTTTCAGGTTGGTTATTCATCAAATCTTTTGGTCTTAAATTACCCAAGTTAGGTAGAGGTAGGACACATGATTATATTCTTTTATTACCCAGCTTTTGGTATGTTGTCTGTCTGTCTCTCTTCTTTTCACCTAAGCCTAAGTTCATAAACTGTTCTTTGTAGGGTATACAGTAGCCACATGGCTGTTTCATTTACTGTTTTAGAAGAACAGAAGAATCTCATGGTCATGGAAGCCTTATTTTTTATATGTATTGCAAATTATGTCATCAGGAAACAATAATGCCCTCCACATACAGTTCTCTGAATGGTCTCAAGATTTTTATTGCTTATGAAATCTAGTATTTACATTTTATTATTTTCTCTTGTCTTGCTGAATATATCAAAGAATTTGAAATTTATCTGTGTGTTTTCGGGTACCTAATCAGGGCAAATGAATTTTATTGTTCACATTCTGTTTAATGTTTCAGTGTACTTCTGGCATAACATATAATAGAAATTCAATTCAATCTAAAAGCATGAAGAAAATATTGAGGAATAGTATATAGTACTGTAGGTTTGTTTTCCCCTCTGTTTTACATTCATCTTAAACAATGAATTATACTACTCTAAGTTTATCCTTCAGAACAAAAAGTGTTTAGCAAGCCTTTCTTCATGGCTTCCGTTGTGCAATATTATGTATGTTTTGTTAGGACTACTTTGGTGAGTGTTCGGAGGCTGCAATTAAGGATAATGTGGTCATAGTATATGAGCTCTTGGAAGAAATGTTAGACAATGGATTTCCACTGGCTACTGAATCTAACATTTTGAAAGAACTGATTAAACCACCAACAATTCTACGTTCTGTCGTCAACTCTATTACAGGTAAGGTGAAAACATACTCTATTAGGAACTGAGCAATGAAAACTTTATCAACACCTCATTCTTGGTTATGATCTGGCAGATTCTTAAGGTAGTCCATTTTGGCTGGAGTTAAAGTTAGTGGTACTGTTAAAATGGATATATATTTCTTTTCATCGAAAGAGGCTAGCCTTAAATAAATGATAAAGAGCTTTTGGTTATTACTCTTTTATTATAGGTTTTTCTACAAGACCACAACAACATTATTACTATTATTTAACACTAAATAATAAGGCTGAATAAATTGTCCCAGTTAATCCTAAAGAAGCCAATATAGTGATGGATGTTAACTTACTGTGGTAATCATTTTACAATACGTACCTATATCAAATCATTATATTATATACCTTAAACTAATACAATGTTATATGTCAATTATATCTCAATAATACTGGAAAAAATAAAAAAGGAATATATGAGGCTACTTAGAAGAGCATTTAATCTATTTATAGACTGGCATTTTAATATTTAAAATAGTATTATTTTATGTGATATGATGCAGGTGTTTAATGCTATAGTGGTAATCATTTTGCAGTATATAAGTGTATCAAATCAACACGTTGTACCTTAAACTTTTTTTGTGTGTGTGAGGAAGATCAGCCCTGAGCTAACATCCATGCCAATCCTCCTCTTTTTTTTGCTGAGGAATACCAGCCCTGAACTAACATCTATTGCCAATCCTGCTCCTTTTTCTCCCTAAAGCCCCAGTAGACAGTTGTATGTCATAGTTGCACATCCTTCTAGTTGCTGTACATGGGACGCCGCCTCAGCATGGCCGGACAAGTGGTGCGTCGGTGCGCGCCCGGGATCCAAACCTGGGCTGCCAGCAGCGGAGTGCGCACACTTAACTGCTAAGCCACGGGGCCGGCCCCTGTACCTTAAACTTAATACAGTGTTTTACGTCAATTATATCTCAATAAAGCTGGAAAAAAAATTTAAAAATAGCATTTTTTTTTTTTTTTGT